CACAAGGGCATGGAAGTAAGCAACTATGGATGATTATAGGCAAGTAAGGACATCAAAAAGGTTTGTAATAAGCTCACAGCTATACGAGAGTCAAGGGTTCTCCCTATGTACTACAACGAAAGACTAGCTGAGGAGATAAGAAAGAAGGCTTCAACCTAAGCACAACGACCTAAAGAGGAAATAGTCATGTAACAACAATCTTGCAATAACATTGTAAGCATTCCAGAGGAAAATGGCACCTATCGTGGCTAATGAACAGGAAGTAAGAATTAAAAGTAATATTCGAGATCATATGAGTTGTATGAAAACTCTGGCAAGTATGGGCACTAAGATAAGCTAAGTATGGACGGAACAAGGGGACAGAAAGACCAGGAAAAGTAATAGCTTACGTTGAAGGAAAGCTAAGATGGAATGAAATAATTATTCGATCAATGATCCAGAGTTAGTACGTTATGGATACATTCAAGATTTTGGAGCATTATCCCGGCAGCATATTTGTTGACAATCATACAGCTATAGAAGACTCCGATATAAGTTAAAAGAAAGAATTGTGCCCAGGGCATAGACAAATGATTGAATTGTTAGAATATTGTGTCATGGATATTCCATAACGCTCATGAAAGGCTAAGGCAATAACTGATACCATGAGCCACAGATCGGAAGGTAGCTTAAGCCTATGTAAAGGCCGATCAGAAGGAGGAGGAAATTAAAGAGTTATACCACCCAAGTAAATTAGGAGTTTGATTATTGGACCCAGAAAAATAAAAACATCGTGATTGAGAACATTGCAGGATCTCCCTTAAAATCACAGGAATGAGGGGGATAGTACAACAACCAAAATCTATAATGGCTCTACAAAAAAGCCGGTTAGAAGAAGTACCAACCTTATAAGAAGTCAGTATAAAGCTTTCACTAAATTGTATATACACCAGAGGTGCAAGTATTATAATAGAACTTCAAGTTGTAAATACGAATTATATATATGCAGAGGGAAGGTTATGAAAGAGATAGAAGATGTGATGTGAGGCTTTAAGAAAAGCAAGGTAAAGGTGAACAATGTACGAGAAACTCAGAAGCAGAAGGTTGAGAACATTCCATATTTGGGATAGAAGGTTAGAAGCACGGGGATTCAATATCCAGGAATGATAGCAACATCGTCAGTAGCATACCTTCCAGCCTATGGTCTAGGTGTTGAAAAGCCTAATTATAAGAGTAAAGAATAGTTAGAGACGATGTGATGTCTCGCTTGATATTCCAGGACAACACAAGAAAATCTATGGTGCAACCAAGTTGAAGGAAAGTTTATAAATGGATATGTATAGGTCGCAAGCTAAAATATGGTAGACCGACAAAGTTTTAAGGAAACATGAGTAAGGATGAGGAAAGGGGAGTGAAAAGGTGACAAGAATGGATAAGTCTTTAGGATTAAGCCCATGAAAACAAGAAGAGCAGACAGTTTCTCTATGTTGTACAAAGCTCACTATAGCCTTAATGAACTCAAAGGAGTCTAAGAATAATAGCATTCAGAAAGAATGAAATGCTGACCTGATAATAAAATGAGGGTATAATTATGACAGATAAAGGATGACGTTTGGGCCTTCGTTTGAATAATGATTTGAAAAAAAAAAAGAAGAATAGAAGGAGAAAAGATTTCGTTGGCGGCACAAAATTAGGATAACCCCATAAGGTGAATCACATTGAGACACTATGAAATACGATTATGGGAATCACTTCGAATATTCCTTGATATAACGTAAGCCATAGGGGAAAAGTATTACTTAAGAAGTTTCAAATTATCAATGGTATATTGTAGATCAATATTGAGGTGAATAAACAATGAATGGACAAAAGTCACAAAGTATGAGATGAGATTAGGCCGTCATTCTAAAGATGAGGAGTAATGAGGAAGCATTAAAGGACTTAAATTTATACATATGGAATAAACAACGAGAGTAAGTTGTGGTTTGGCAGCAGACCTCAGCAAAGATAAATTAAAGTAAGAGTTATGACAGTAAATTCATACGGATGGCTAAACGGACCTATGCGATGAGATATAGCAATATTCGTGAGTTCAACAAAGTACCAAGCGAAACTGTTTTATATCAATTAGCTAAATAAAAGAGAATATTTTTATAATTTTTATTTTTGTGACAAAATAAAGTAAAAGAGTCAAAACTAATTGAAATAGTGATATTAGGCCTAAACTAAATATTTATATTCTAAAATATGTAAAATCTTGGGGAGGGTCAAAAATTATATGTCTATAGCTACTTGCTAAAAACAAAGTTTGTGGTGAGGACGGACAATGTGGCTAATACATACTTCAAGACTCAACAGAAATTATGTCCGAAGCAGTCTTGGTGGCAAGAGTTCTTGGCTGAATATGACTTTTTATGGGTACACAAACATGGAAAATAAAATCAGGTTGTCGATGTCCTTAATCGAAAAGAGGTATTTGCTGCAACTTGTGCACTTACTCGAATTGAATATGATTTTCTTGATACAATCAAGTTATGTTCTATAAATGATCCATTGTATGTGAAATTAATGGATTAAGTGAAAGACGGGACAGTTAAGCGGTATTGGATCGAGGATGATCTGATGCACTTCAAAGAGGGGAGAATTGTGGTTCCTCAAGGTGTTGGATCACGTTATTCTCTTCTAAAGAAGACGCATAATACTCCTTATACTGGTCATCCAGGTGTTGAAAGGATGTTGACATTGCTGTCTTGGAATTACTTTTGGCAAAAAATGGAAGATAACGTTGAGGCCTATGTGAAAACTTGTCTGGTTTGTCAGCTTGACAAGACTGAACGGAAGATGGAAGGTGGTTTGCTACAACCTCTACCGATTTTAGAGTTTCTGTGGACTTCCACTCTATGGACTGTATCAGCGGGATTCCAAAAGTTCATGGCAAAGCATCAATCATGGTGGTGGTAGACAGATTCTCAATATATGAAATTTTTGTTGTTGCTCCAACTGTTTGTTCTTCTGAAGTAACTACTGAATTATTCCACAAGCATGTGTGAAACACTTTGGGGTTTAAGGGATATTGTGAGTGATCGGGATCCGAGATTTACAGGCCGCTTTGGACTGCTTTGTTCAAATTCTTGGGGATTGATTTAAAATTCTCGACTACAAATCATCCACAAACCGATGGGCAGACCGAACGTATCAATCATCTGCTTGAAGAGACTTGAGGCATTATGTGACTGCTAATTAGAGGAATTGGGTTGAGTTACTAGACAGTGCATAGTTTTGCTACAACTTGCATATGTCTTTGGCAACTGAAATGAGTTCATTTGAGATTGTGTTGGGAAGAAGGACCGACACACCGCTGGAAGCTGCTTAGTTGAAATCAGGGGGCAAGTGTCTTGCTGCTTATAGATATGCTCGTGACGAGCATGAGTTGTTGGCTGAGGTACGAGACAACTTGAGAAGAGCAGCTAACAGAATGAAAAGAAATGCAAACAAAAATAGGCAGCCTTTGGAGTTCAATGTTGGTGATAAGGTTTTGCTGAAGCTTATGCCACTGATTGGAAAAAAATAAGTAGCAAGACGCGTCATCGGGATTATTCCAAAGTATGACAGCCCCTTTGAAGTTTTAAAGAAGGTGGGTAAAGTGGCCTACTGGCTGAATCTGCTAGAACATCTCAAAATTCACCCAAATTTTCATGTGCGTTTCTTGAAACGGCTCCATGAAGATGCTGAGGATCCAACAAGGACGGTGCCAATCGTGCTCCTCCAGTAGAGCAAAAACAATTTGAGGAGACCATTGAGAAGATTTTGGATCACCGTACGCTGTGTAAAAGTAAAAAGAACAGGCAGACAGAGTTCCTGGTTCAATGGATGGGAAAGCAGGAGTGTGATGCAACTTGGGAAAATGGACCATCTCTATGGCAATTTCAGGATCAAATCAAGGCGTATCTAGATTCTGCCTTATCGAGGAAAATGAGCTCATCTGCTGGGGGAAGTTTGTTAGCCCCTCGGTATAATTGATCGAACATGACATGGGAATGATGAGGGATTTACGACACAGCCCTATGATGACAGTGGCATCATATTGACAAGGCTGTCCAACATGGGGAGGTGTTGATCGGTATGGATTGTGGCTCGACGACATGTGGCTTAGGTGCCAAGGCATGGAAAGACCATGGCAGTGCAAAGACAATGGGCAGCAGAAGCATATCAAGGGCTAGAAAAACTAAGGCTAGCTAAGGCAGGGCGTGGCAAGGCTAATGGGCACGGGCAAGGCAGTGTTTTGGGCGAGCTAGGCATGCGAGATTGGCAGATATGCGCACAAGGCATGGTGCACATTGGCATGACGCGAAGGAATGACAAGGCTGGGCTTGTTGGCGCAAAATATTTGAAGGTTGCGCCCATGTGCCACGCACATGCAGAGTAGTTGGCTAGTTGAGCAGTTTCTTGTTTTTCAGCATGAATGGGTATGTGAGGTTGTGGGCAGTTGTCTGATTTGAAATTTAAAATTTGATTCCTTTACAGTTGGTCAACTGCTATGTTGGGTATGTTGGGATAAGGCTGGGAGCCAAACACGTTGCCAATATATGTATAGGATAGGCAGAGTTGTCAAGACAGAGTGTTGGCTGTCTGTGACTTCTTTTTGTAAGGCTTTTATATGTGTTTCTTTGTAGCATGAGTTTAATACAAAGTTGGAAAGTGATTCCTGTAAACTTTGCACTGTCTAATTTTTGTTGACTTTTATATTCTAAGTATCAAACCAAAACATGAGAGAAAAAGGAAGAGGGTTGGGTCATTGTCGTGTGACTGTCGTGCAATATCAAAACGAAAAACAATTGACCATGTAACAATACCTATGAGGATCCTTGACTTTCTATTTGCTTTTATAGATAGCTTTTCTTCCACAAAGAATACTTCAGAAAAGGTATGCCCTCTCTTCACTTAAGATGCGAAAGTCCTCGCGATATTAATATACAAGATAGGGATCAATGTCAAACTTGCTTCATATTTGGCACAAATGATATTTTAATAAAAATATTAGTATTATGCAGTGCAATACAATGGTTCACAACCTCACATTAAACACCAATATAGAAACATAAAATAAAATGAAAGCAACATAATTGTTCAGGCAAATACAATTAGCTTGACCAAACAAGTCAAGCTAGAGACTTAACAAAACTTATTACATTGTGACACACACAAACACATAACAAAATCACACTAACTGATTGTTGATGCAGTAATTAGTACTCTGCAAACACAAAAAATCAGCTTCTTATATATATATATATATATATATATATATATATCAGTCCAAGCCAATCGTTGAGGCTCTGAAGTCAATTCCTCATGATTAATGGCAAGGAGAATAGCAATAGCAAGCATATTTTGCCCAGTGATGATGTTTGTGTCCCCATTGGTATTTCTTACAAATTCCATATTCAGCTCCAAAATAGTGCTTGCAGTGGTGGCTACATTTGTAAGAATAGTGGCAAGGCCCATGCCACTTGTGACTTTTCTTCCAGCAGTATTTTGCTTCTGTCATTTGCATTTCTGCATGAAATTGGGAAATTGAATACCAAGGATATATAAGTACTTGAGATATACTTAACACTTTGTATAATTGTTGAGACATAATATAATACTTTTTAATGTACTCTCCCTAACAGTTTAACCAATATAAAAACGTATGTACTTCCTCAGTTTAAACTTTAAAATAAGATAATCACACAATAAAACAATAATGACCTAACATACTTTGGATGCTTAAACTCAATATTCCCCGACATTTACCTAACATACCAAAAAATTTAGCCAAAAAGCATGCTTAAAAAAGTTGTTGACTCACCAGTAGCAGCAACAAGGAGAAGACAGAAGATGAAGGCAATGAAGGTTGTGTATTTAGCCATGGCTAATATTTTCTTTTGGATATTTGGTGAGGAAACTGTTAACAGAGATTGTGATATTTATAGCATATTTAGAAGCTCAATATTGTCAATTTAATTCTTCTTTTGACCAGTTCAAAGATCAAGTACTTACCAAGTACATAAGCTAGTATTAAGAAAGAAAAAAAAGGAATATGATGAAAAGGACTATGAGAAGGCTAATTTAGGAACTTGAATGGATCAAGTAATCAGGATAGTGATGAGACGATTGCTGCGACGTATAATTATTATATATTAATATATAATATACATACTTTTATATAAAATCAATATAT